AGAATTAGCTGTTGAGTATACATGTAAGGTTGATGAGAGCCCTTACATACAAGCACGTGTTATGGTTACCGATGGAGGATAGCTGTAACATTGTTACAGCATTCTAGCGAAGTTTCAATATTGGAAAAATTGACCCCAATCTACCTTTGATACTAGAATTCTCAGTTCTTGAGTGCACTCTTACTTTATTGTTATTTTACTTTTAGCTTAGTTTATTAATTAGTTAATAATTAGTCTTAGTTTAGTCTCTGTAGTTCTTAAACCATAAAATTTTTAGAAAAATTGTTACTTTTATTGCTTCACATTGATCTCAACTTTATAGTTTTTCCCGTGTGAGCGATATCTGGACTCACACATCCAATATTAATTGTTGACACATGCACTTGCGTTGTGATTAATAAAAGAGTTATAAAATTGCATAACAAGTTTTTGGCATCGTTGCCAGGGAAAACTTATAAAGTTAGTTTCTCTGTGAAGTGATATTTGATTCATTTTCTTTTTATTTTCAGGTCTTGCAGCTAGTATATAAACAATTCCCCTCACCGATTCGAAGGGTATTTAGATCCAAAAATTGAAAATATGCTTTGAGCTTGGAGGAGGCAGGGGAGATAGAGCATTACTACAATATTACCTGTCATGGCAACAAGAATAGCAGGATCTAATGTTGATGGACTAAATCAAGTTGAAATTTAAACCAAGGCACATGGAATCTTAGCGCTCAATAATCTTCAATCTGCCATTATTCAACCTGAAGTTGTAGCAAACAATTTTGAGTTTAAGCCAATTATGTTCGATATGCTGGAAAGTATTGGTCAATTCAGTGGGATGCCAAGTGAAAGATGATTCAGGTTGACCACTATATTAAAATTTTTAATGAACCTGATTATTTAATTTTTGTGAGTTCAACGGCTCATGTCACATACACATGTGTGTGTGTGTCCTTACATGAAAATGAGTAGACATGGTGGATTTGACAAAGGCTGGTAGTCGCTTCAGCAAATTTTGTGGGTTTCAAAATATTATATAACTTCGAATATATCTTTATCAAATGTATCAACCTTAAATATGACAAATAGTTGAGTACTATCGGCGTAATAATGTTTCCATATTAAAATGTTACTAATTTTCAAATTAATTAGGGTTCAATAAAATTTATAATACAGTGGTCAACCTGAATCGTCTCTCTCAAAGAGTTTGCAACGGACTAAATCGCTCAGTTATGTAAAAAATGGAAACTAAATGAAAATTGGAAACAAAATAAAAATGGCAACTAAATGAAAATGAAAACTAATTGAAAATGAAAACTAAATGAGAAACGGAAAAAAAATGAAAATGGGAACTAGATGAAAACATAAACTAAACATGGGGGGGGGGGGGGGTTTGTTTAATACGATTAAAATTTTAAAACAAAAATTAAAGCAAAATTAAAAGAAAAAAGAAATTATTAATTCGAAAATAACCAACCTAGAATTGGAATTCCTAGGACATCCATCATTAGACAATAATTACCAAATCGTGGTTGACCTTAAACGAATCAGAATCCTTGCATTTGTTCAGGAACCCTTTTTAGATGACCGCCTAATGTTTAGTCAAATATGGTGCGTCTACTCATGCAATCGCAGAGTATCAACCCGTTTCGACTTGAGGTCATTGTGTTCATCAACCTAAAAGTTAATCTAACGTTCAATCTCTTCTCTAGAGTGTAATCGCACATCTCGAATCCGAGATAAGGGAAGAGACACAAATTTGATTCAAAGTAAGGCCCAGGTTCTCGAGATTCAATTATGGAATCCTCAACCCTTGGGTTGATTAAAGAAGGGAAGAGAGAAAAACGATGAAATTTGTCTTGATCTCAAACTATAAAATGCAACTTAAATGAAAAGATGATCCACATGGTCTCCTAATCTCGCCCTTTTAACCCACATTCGAACCGGGTTAGGGCTCCACTAAATTCGGCCCAAAATAAAAGGAGACAAAAGAAAATAAAATGCAAAATAGAAAACATTGGACGTGGGCCTTTCTACATTGGGTTCTTAATTACAACTTCAGGCCCAACTAATTAAATAAAATTCCAGAATCAGACGTTCGACTTGGGCTCCAACTTGAACCATTTTTCTGTCTGAATTGGACTTTCATGTCTTCATAACATTTGTAGCCCTCTAAATTATCTGCAAAACACAACAAGATGGGGATTAATCGTACACCTGTAGCAAGAGTTATGATCAAAATATTGCAGTAACGTAAATTTGGAAATTTATGCTAAAAATGAATTAAATTAAATTAAGAGGCAAACTAATTAATTCAACCCAAAAGTCCTTTATTCTCATAATAAACAATCCTAAAATTATTAATCAAGAGCATAAATAAGTTTAATAAATATTAATTGCCAGTGTCTGAGTGTATGTTTGTGCTTTATTTTTATCTTTTATGATATAATCAGTAAAATATTATGTTGTTTGGTTTCGAGTGTGGATGTGAAGTGGAGCTTATTGCGATTAATTATTGTAATGTAATTCACGTTTATCACATATTTTAGTAATATTCCTTTCCCCTGTGAGGACCATATTATATGATAAGGATTTTCCTTTTAGTTATAAAGAGCCTATTAACACTCATGAAGTTCGTACTTGGAACAAATTTGCTTAATTGAGGTCATAAGAATGGAAAAACTTTACCAGTAGTGCTGTTCTCTCTTCGGATAAGTCTGACTTCAGCAAGCAACATGTAACTCAAATAACTCATATATAAGGCCATAAAATTTTGAGTTGAGATGTGTATTCGTAGAGTATCTCGCTTGTCATGATTTACTTACTCTACAATTTGTGGGAGTTGTTTATGGTGGACAACTTAAGTTTTCATTTGTTCCTTATACTTAAGGTGTTTTAGATTAGCTACATGTTGGATTATTCAAGTGTGATGAGTTCTACATTAGTTGATAATGGGTTAAGTAAAATGTAAAATGTATATAAATGAGGGGACCCATGAACCCAATGCCTTAAGGGCCTGTTTGGTGTGATGTATAAGGCTTGATAGTATAAGCTTATACTATACGTTATGACATTTTCAGTTATTTGGTGTGACCATCGTATAGTATAGCTTATACAGCAGAACCCCTTAATACATCAAAATGATGTATAACTTAATCATGCCTAAGGGGATGAGATTAGGCCTGATAAGAAGTTGATGTATTAATATTGCTTACAAGTACAATTTTCAAGAACTAATGTATCATTTCAAAATTAATGTATTAAAATATTTTTTTAATATATTAATTTTTAAAATATTGGAGGATTTTTTTTATACAATATCATACCAAACGCTGGATAGTATTAAAATTTAATCAGGTCTTGTTCTGGATGGCCCAAGTACTGGAGTGGCCAAATTACTTGGGCCCAACCCTCAGCTGGCCCAGTTACTCAAGCCCAACCCCCAGCCTTGTTCCGCGTCAGCCCTTAGGGCTGACGTCAACCCTTAGGGCTGACGTCAACCCTCGCGATCTCCAAGACTGCAGCACGTCCAAGAGATACACCAAAATGTCCCACTTCGGGACATTAACCGCTAAAGGCAATCGCCATAAGCACTGCAAAGGAACCTGCCCCTTTGTTCAGCGCTGACATCGCCGGGTGCAGTGGTTGCAGCACTGCCATTGTGGCAGCGCCAACCACGCCTAACACTGCCATCATGGGTGTGCACCCCAAGAAGGGTTGACCCCCACCTCACCAACTCGCATCATCTTCCTTATAAATAGCCCTTAGGGGACACACCACAAGATATCTTTTGTGTACTGTTGTTATCCCCATTTACTTCCAAGTCATACTCTTGTTATTTATCTGCCATTGATATCAACTTGCTACCTCTTGGAACTATACCTTCTAGCCTGGTCTTTACCTCAGCTAATGGTGTAATCCATATAATAACATTACCCTCAAGGGTACATAGTGGGCTCACAGAACTGAACGGTACAGGTCTTATACTATCATGTCTTATACAATCAGACCTTATCCAATACTATGCACCAAACATGCCCTAAGGTTTTGAGTTGAGATGTGGTGTCGGATCCACTTGTTACGGGCTTCCCCCTGGACCCGCTTGACAGTGGTACTAGAACCGGGTTGGGCTCGAGCTAGCCTGGTGATTGGCTATAGGCAGGTTGAGCACTTTGGGCCTCGGTACTCGGTTCAGGGGAAAGCATACCAAGGTGGGTTTCACACTTGAGGAAAAGATTTTGGATGATTCAAGTGTGATGAGTCTCACATTGGTTGGCAATGGGCTAAGTAAAATGTATATAAGTGAAGAGACCCATGAACCCAATGCCTTAAAATTTTGGGTTAAGATGTAATGTCAGATTCACTTGTTACGGTTAGAGTAGCTTAGCCCATTAATAGTGGTACCTCGTCACGAGTTTTCCCCTAGACCCGATTGAGACTACAAAGCGGAGTAAAGTCTTTTTCTTTTTTTGCTATATATATATATAATAGTGAAATCCTTAAATCTTTGGAGTCCCTTACTATTGCTGGAGTATTGTTTTACTGTTTTCCTAAGTAGATAATTAAGGACATGTACTTTTTGTATTGAAAGTTCATTAGTTCTTTTTTCTCGTCATATGTAATGATTATCTTTCTTTTGAGAAAAGAGATAATAATTGGCTTAGTCATTTTAATCTGTCATTAAGTGTGCATATATATAATATACATGCTTATGAGGGCTGCTTTTCTTGCTGTCTACGTTTTGATAAATATTCTCTAGAATCTAGATTAGCTTACGCAGTGGCATGTTACTCACTAGTCACTATTACGTGTTGTACGGTCAAATCGCTTAGCTGTAATCCTTGGTGTTGAAAGGTCTTTAAATTTTTGTTCAACTAATCGTAGTTGGTAATTGTCCATTTATTGAACCAGTCTTTTGATTCATCAAGAAGCAAAATTCATTATAGTATTTAGTATACACAATTTAAAATAATTAACCCCCTCCCTTAATTGAAGAATAATAAAAGAAAAAATAAATTAACTCAAGCTGGTTTTTCATCCAAGGACCACTACCCTTGCAAACTCATTCTCTCTCTCTCTCTCTCTCCTTTTTTTCCTTTTGTCTTTGTCTGTTTTTTCTTGGCTTGATAGCTCATTACACTTAGCCTTGTAGTTGGTACACTACATAAAACTAAGCATTTTTCAGCAAATATCTATGTACACTATGATTTATGTGTCCTATTAAGCTATTCTTCCTTGCCTTAGCTGATTTGATGGAGGAGAGTTTGACTCACTTCTTCTTCCATTTTGGTGTTTTTCATTCTGCGAATGAGACTGTGACTGTGATGAACGTGTCTTGGGGGATTTTAGTGGATGCCTGCGGCCATTTTTGAGATGGTGATTCGGGTGATGGTGACCACCATTTTCCCTCTTCCTCTCCTTTGGTGATTCATATTCCTTTGCATCTTTATGCACTTCATTATTATCAGTTGGAACTGTGTAAACAAATGGTCCAATTGGAATATCATCAAAATCTTTGAGTGGTTCAAGAGTCTTAACCACTGTGCTCATTGTAGGCCTGTTCCTTGGCCTATGGCTAAGGCATTGATAAGCCAATGCAGCTGCTTTTTTTGTTCCCATCTCAGAGTATTGTCCTTCAAGCCTTGGATCCATTATCCTGCTAAGTTTTCTTGAATCATTTAACATTGGCCTTGCCCATTCCACTAGATTATGCTCCCTTGGATGGCGATTCTTGTCCACTGACCTTCTTCCTGTTATAAGCTCCAACAGCACTACTCCAAAGCTATACACATCACTCATTGCTGTCAAGTGACCTATAAGAAAACATTATATTAGAATTTATTTAGCTACAAGAATACTATACTAGTTCAAATAATCATATGTTATTATTTTTCTTTATTACCCAACAGTTTATTTGTAAATATGCAAAAATAGCAGTGCGTATAAGGATTGCCCTCGTACTTAATATATATTTGGATTCTCTTATTTTTAAGTTATAAACTATTTATAGGTAGAAGTTAGGGCAAACAGATTTTGAGAAAAGCTTATACTGAAAAGTTTTTTGTATAATGAAGAAAAAAGTTAAAAGTTTCTAAGAGGAGTTTTTTTTAAATTCTTATCAGCTTTTCTTGAATTGTGTGTTTTTTTTTAAATGAAGAACCATATAGATAAAGATAGAGAGATTTTTCTTGAAATGTGTATTTTTAAATAACTTTAAAGCTAAAAATTTTAAGTAAGAACCAAACAACTTTTTTTTTTTTTTTTATGCTCTTGCTTTTTAATTCTAGTAAAGTAGTTGCTTGCTTAAAAAAAAGAAAGATACAAGGCTAACCTCTCGCTAGTGGATTAATAAGAAATTTAGAATAATGAAATTACCTGTCATGACATATTCTGGGGCGGCATAGCCTTGGGTTCCCATGACTCGGGTTGAAACGTGGGTGTCATCACCTTCAGGACCATCTTTTGCCAACCCAAAATCAGAGAGTTTTGCGTTGTGATCCTGGAAGAATGAATGAGAAAAGTGAGTACAAATACTTGAGGTATGAGTTTTGAATGGAACAGTGAACGAGATACTTACAGAGTCTAACAAGATGTTCGAAGTTTTGAAATCTCTATAGATGACTGGTTTCTCTGCTTCATGAAGAAAGGCTAAACCCTTTGCAGCTCCAACAGCAATTTTCATTCTTGTTGACCATGATAGTGATGCTGAATATCCTAGAATTCCAAAAAAAAAAAAAAAAAAGGTTAGTTTTTGAAGTTTTGAGAAGATTAAAAGAAGAAAATAGAGGGGATTATAATAGAAATCTTACTTCGAAATAACTGATTCTCTAAGCTGCCTCTTGTTAAATATTCATATACCAAAAGCCTGTGTTCTTCTTCACAGCAATATCCTATAAGCTTCACAAGGTGTGGATGCCTTAATTGCCCCAGAAAAACAACTTCAGTCTGTCATCAAAAGTTACAAAACCAAAGGATAGTCAGAACTAAAAAACACTCTATATATATCTCAAAAGCACTCATTATTAAACCATGGCAGCACATACATATTTGACACTAATTTATAGAAAAAGAAGAAGAAAAAAAAAGTACTTACCAACCACTCTTTATGGCCCTGTGATCCATCCAAGTCCAAGAGCTTAACAGCCACAGGCTGAGCCTTTAGACCAGGCCTAAGCTTGTCATCAATGAAACCCTTATGCACTGGTCCGAACCCACCTTCTCCTAGAAAATTACTTGAGGAGAAGTGCTGAGTGATAATCTTGAGTTCAGCAAGTGAAAAAACATACAGGTTAGATCCTGCTAGAGAAATGGAAAGATCCTCTGTAAGAGTCGTGCTTGGATAACTCAAATCATTTACAGAAATCCTGGGAGAAGAATTAGGCTTTGTAGACACCACTTTCTTGGACTTGGGTGAGTATCCCTCACCCTCATAACAACTAGAGAAGATGGATCTCCATATGGTGCTCATGATTGTCACTGTTGATGAAGGGAAAAAGAATTCAAACTCAAATACTTGCTCTGCTCCTCAAATGTTTCTTCTATGGAGATATATATACGAGGAAGCTTGAAAACTTGGTGAGAATGTGTAAGTATTAGGTAGGAAGAGAGGGTGTGGTGGAAATGAAAAATGGGGTTTAAGACTTTTTAGGGTAGAGAGCTAATATTCAAATTCTTCAACTGCTCAGAGAGAAAAGAGTTTTTAAGCTCCTTTTTATATCAACCCTACGTTGAATTTTTCCTCTAATTTCTTGTTGATTAGTTGCCTTGGTCCTATAAGCGATGGAGTTCTTATATTTTGGACATATATATATATATATAGATGTTTAGTTGTTTGGCAAGCAAGAAATCATTTGATAAATGGGGAACCGAGTATCCTAAGTCTAAGGTATTGGTTAAAGGCAAATGACATAGCTATACCCCTGCTTGACTTTCATGCATTTATGGAGATAAATTTGAAGAAGAAACTTTAGCTTCTTGTCTTCTGAACCTTTTTAATTCCAATAGCACCTTCAAGAATATTTCCTTTCATTTTCTAATTAATATAAAGTCTTACACTGTTGCACGGAACCAAAAGCAGCTCATTATTTCTTTCACACTGATCTTTTTTGTTGAATATTCGCCCCCTTAATTAGTTTCTCTTTCTTCGATTTGTTGGGTTTTCGTTGACTTTTTTTTTTTTTTTTTTTTTTTGGACACAAATTGTTGTTCAGATATGAGCTATCAACACTTGTATCTTAAACAAGAGTTCTAGCTAGTAGAAGTTAGAACTAAAAGAATAAAATGAAAACACAAAAAATTGGGAAACTCCATGCTTCAGCTATTTTTACTATATAGATAGTGAAAAATGGGGTATATATCTACCTCCCATGTCCCAATGATTAGACAGAGGGCAATTCTGTCAAACAATGGGTTTCTAGTTGTACTTTCGTTTTCTCTCAATTTTTTGCCAACGTGATTATTGTATCAGAGTATTGATAATAAAATACTTGGTCGGTCTGCTTGCAACCTTAGTTGTATTAGTTTCTAGAAGATGTAACTCAAATATATATTAATTCAACTTGTTGTTTATATAATGACAAAACAACGTTTCAACAAATTGTAAGGATTTGCATATCCTCAACAACTAACACAAGGCCTTACATTTCGGTTTATACTATTTGAGAATGCTACGCGGGGAGGACAATTGGAATGAAAATGTTAGAGGAGCCTGCAAAAGAAGCCAAAATAAAATAAAATAAAGTCACAGTTTTAGGGGCTAGTAATCATACTTTTAAGCATACCCTTGAATTTGCTTTAATTATGAACAAATAATTATTTTTAAAAATTACAACAAAAAATAATTATTATGATTCAGAATAGACTTTCAGGAGTTTTAAAAACTTTCGGAACAAGCCTCAAGCCTTGTATATGCCTATGTGTAGTTTGACTTTTTTGGAGGGGAAGCTACACGCATAGTTTCTCCCGTTTACATGATTATTGTAGTGGAAACTAAAAAAAAATAAAAATCGAAGAACATATATGTTAAATAACGAGAGAGAAGAGAGGAACATTTGAAATAAACTGTATGTATTGATATGATGAAGAATGTACAATATATAGACACTCTAATGGGTTAAGCACAAACCTAATACAAAAGAAATAAGGAAACCCTAATTACATAAGAAATAAGAAAACTCTAATTACAATATATTTCTAACACTCCCCCTCAAGCTAGAGCGTATAGGTCATATGCACCAAGCTTATTATATATAAACTATATTCGAGGACCCCTCAAAGATTTTGTAAACACATATGCTAATTTCTCATTAGAGGGTACAAAACTAGTTTTAATTTCATCAGCAAGAATCTTTTCTCGAACAAAGTGACAATCTATTTCTATATGCTTGGTTCTTTCATGAAACACTGAATTTGATGAAATGTGCAGAGCTGCTTGATTATCACAAATAAGAATTGCATGTCCAGTGTCTCCAAACTTAAGCTCTTTGAGAAGTTGTTTAAGCCAGATGAGCTCTCAAGTAGTAGTCGCCATGGAGCGGTATTCTGCTTCTGCACTTGATCTAGCAACCACACTTTGTTTCTTACTTTTTCAAGAAATCAAGTTGCCTCCAACAAAGACACAGTACCCAGAAGTAGATCTCCTATCAGCTGGACAACCAGCCCAATCAGCATCACAGTACCCAACAACTTTATCATGACCTTTATCTTCATATTCAAGGCCTTTTCCTGGAGATGCCTTGATATACTTAAGAATACGAATGATTGCGTTCCAATGTTCTTGACATGGAGAATTAAGAAATTGACTAACAACACTTACTGCAAATGAAATATCAGGCCGAGTGACTGTGAGGTAGTTCAATTTTCCAACGAATCTTCTATACTGCTCTGGATCTGGAAATGGCTCCCCCTGATTTGGTAGAAGCTTGATACTTGGATCTATAGGAGTATCAACAGACTTTGAATTTAACAGAGCAGTTTCTTCAAGAATATCCAGAGCATATTTCCTCTGAGATACCACAACGCCAGCTTTAGATTGGGCCACCTCGATTCCCAAGAAGTATCGAAGTTTCCCAAGATCCTTAGTCTGAAAATGATGACATAAATGTTGTTTCAAATGAGTGATCTCATGCCGATCACTACCTGTGATGACAATATCATCAACATATACCACCAGGTAAATAGATCCAGAAGTGGAATGACGATAAAAGAGAGAATGATCAGCTTCACTCCGAGTCATGCCAAATTGTTGAACAACACTGCTAAATTTTCCAAACCAAGCTCTTGGAGATTGTTTGAGGCCATAGAGAGACTTACGAAGACGACAAACAAGACCTGACTCCCCCTGAGCAACAAATCCAGGAGGTTGCTCCATATAAATTTCCTCCTCAAGATCACCATGGAGAAAAGCATTCTTGATGTCAAGTTGGTAGAGAGGCCAATGGCGAATAGCAGCCATGGCAATAAAGAGGCGAACAGTAGACATTTTCACCACAGGAGAAAAGGTATCAACAAAATCCAGTCCAAACACCTGAGTGAAACCCTTCGCCACTAAGCGAGCTTTAAGACGATCCACTTGGCCATCAGGTCCAACCTTAACAGCATAAATCCATCTGCAACCAACCACAGATTTTCCAGAAGGAAGAGGCACCAGATCCCATGTGCCATTATGATGAAGAGCACTCATTTCATCAATCATAGCTTGTCTCCATCCCGAACGTGAAAGTGCATCACCTGTAGTCTTAGGAACAGATAGAGAGGACAAAGAGGAAAGGCATGCAAAATATGATGGAGAAAGACGATGATAACTAATATTGACTATATACCTGGCCGGAGGGAGAGTATCACGAGTACCCTTACGAAGAGCAATGGGAAGGTCACTATCCGAAGGTGGGACCGAAGCCGTGGTAGGAGATGCAGTTGAATATGAGTCCACAGAGAAATCTGACGAACTATGCTCGATCTCATCAGTAGAAGAGGTGATAGAAGGAGAGTCAGAAACATGGACAGGTAAAGACGGAAGGTAAAGAAGGTCACCTGGGAAGGACGACTGTACAGAATCAGTATCCACAGGGGTAGTAGAGTATCCGAAAAAGGGAACTGATTCAAAAAAGGAGACATCCGCCGAGATAAAGTATCGACGTAAAGTGGGAGAGTAGCAACGGTAACCCTTTTGAGACCGAGGATAACCCAGAAAAACACATTTATGAGACTTGGGAGTTAATTTATCCAAACCTGGACCAAGATGATGAACAAAACACGTAGAACCAAACACATGTGGAGTTAAAAGATATAAAACCTGATGGGGAAATAAAATAGAGTGAGGTACCTTATGATTGAGAACAGATGATAGCATGCGATTAATGAGATAGCATGCAGTAAGTACAGCATCACCCCAGAATGTGTATGGAACATTACCATCAATTAACAAGGCACGAGTGGTTTCAACCAGATGGCGATTCTTGCGCTCGGCTACACCATTTTGTTGAGGTGTATGGGGGCAAGATGTTTGATGAAGAATGCCATGAGATGAAAAGAATTGTTGAAATTGATGAGATAAGTACTCACATGCGTTATCGTTACGAAAAGTACGAAGAGGAATACCAAATTGAGTTTTTATTTCATTATAAAATAACTGAAAAATAGAAAATAACTCAGACCGCTTTTTCATTAAAAATAACCAAGTACATCTGGAATAATCATCAATAAAAGTAACAAAATACTTAAAACCCAAAGTAGAAGAATGACGACTGGGTCTCCAAACAACAAAGTGGACAACAGAAAAAGGAGAAACAACTTGACGACTAAGACGACTCAGAAACGTACTACGAGTATGTTTCCTAAACTGACAAGACTCACAATTTAAAGTAGAAAGAGACGACAAATGCGGCACCATCTTCTGAAGCTTTGCAAGACTAGGATGACCCAGACGAGCATGGATAGTAAGAGGAGAATCCACAGTGGAGCAGGCTGAAGAAGAGGGAACTAGTTGATAGAGGCCCTGATACTCACATCCTTTGGTAATCTCCTTCCCCGAACTCCGATCCTGAAAGTTGACAGCGATTTTAGTAAAAGAAATAACACGGTCAATGGAGAGAAGGTCAACACAGTCAACACAAAACGAAGTCCAAACACAGAACCATGACCAGATCCAGAACTGTCACAGGGAGACGTAGAGAACGCAACCAGCCGCGGCAGGAGAAGAGGTCCCACACGCCGCCTTGGTGGAGGAGAAAACTGGATCTTGCACGCGCGCGTGAGGGCGCGTGAGAGGTCTGTTAAGGGTATGGCCGGTGCCGTTGAGTTTGTGCTTCCAAGACGAGCACGTCGGTATACGGTTCGCCGGAAAACTCCACCGGACGGTGGTGTTGACGTAGACAGAAGCTTTAAACACAGAAGAAAACGTACCGGAAACTGACAGCGCGACAGTTCCGGAAAAAAAAATTAAAAGACGATGAACAATGGGTTCACCGGAAAAAAAAAATTCAAAGTTCCTTAGGCTCTTGATACCATGTTAAATAACGAGAGAGAAGAGAGGAACATTTGAAATAAACTGTATGTATTGATATGATGAAGAATGTATAATATATAGACACTCTAATGGACTAAGCCCAAACCTAATACAAAAGAAATAAAGAAACTCTAATTACATAAGAAATAAGGAAACCATAATTACAATATATTTCTAACAATATAAGTTTGAATGATGAAAGCAAAAGAAAAATTTTAAAAAAATAAAACACAA